ATAATCCCGATATTACCTTGTGACATTCGCAATAGACTCAAATTTTCCATTGCATGCCGACATTTATTTTTTAACATTTTATATAGTCACTAATTTGGCATTAATAAAAATAAACCATTTTACCTTCCAGCCGAATTTCTAAATTTCGAAATGGTAATGCGGAATATTTGACAATTACAAGGCAGTCATCATGTAATTTAAGATAGAACCCCAGTGGTAATTTAATTATTTAAACTACCATTTTAAAATTGGATGTTTATCATGTTAGAATAGAGTAACCACATATTGCGGTAAATATTAAACTAGTAAAGTAATTTTTCTTATCAATATTTTTTAAAAATTTTGTAAATTAAACTACAAGGATTTTGGATCCAGTAAAGTAAAGGATATTACAATACGCGAGTTGTTTTCAACTACAGATCCCAAAAATTTAGTCTGATATGCGAAAACCTTGAAATTTATAATTAACCATGTAATTGCAATTTGTTTAATAAACTCTTTTCTTGCAAAAAATGGAAGCATAAAATAAATTGTAAAATTTACGTTACTTGTTGGAGTTTTAAGACCATTTTTTTTTTAATATCTGCACAAAAAAAAATTATTTTAATTGGCAACTTTTCTAATTACCATCCAAGTTTTTTCTTTTTTTAATTTAATTTGTGTTTTCCTTTTGTTTTCCACTTATTTTAAGGAAAAACTTCAAAATAAATAAAAAAAAAACAAAATTTTCATTTATTTTTCAAAATTGAATTTTTCCAGGATACGTTCATTTCCTTTCTTTCTTTTTTCCCATGAACTTTTTAAAATATAAACACTTTTCATTACATTTTGCTATAGAAAAAAAGAAATATGCAAGAGTGTTGTTCCATTTAATTTTTATAGCATTAAAAAATAGGTGAACATTTAACCGGATAATTCTGTTATAATTTTTTTTTTCCATGGATTCAATAAAAATCTTATTACCCAAATGGTATTATTAAATTTAATTTTCTTTTATTATTAATAATAAAAAATTTATTAAAGCTATCTTAACATTTTGTAAAATATGAGATCTGTTCTTTTTGCTGAAGTAGACTCAAGTTGAATTCTCGTTTGCAGTTTTTAACAAAGATCTGCAATGCCACCAAGTTTTTGTAGTTTGGTGCAAGAAGGTTCCGCTTTTTTTTGGTAGAAATGCAAAAGATCTTCTTTTAAATCGATAGCATAGAATTTCTTTCTGTTATTATATTGAGAACCTCAAATAGTAGAGAAATCAATTAGTAAAGAATATAAATTAAACATTTTAGACCAGAGTTTTTATTGACAGTGCAGTGCGGCTTTATTAGTTCTATTGCAGTACAGATATCTAATTAATAAAATGTCTCGCAGTCAGAACTGCAAATGCGAATTTAAACTGATTGTGAATTTTTGAAATAACGTCCACGTAAAGTAAAACCCTAGTTTTGTGAGTTGTCACAAAAATACAGTAGACTCTAAGTCAAATAAAAAATAAACTAAAATGTTACAAGTAACCAATTAAAATAGAACAAAATCTGTTAAGGTATCACAAATTAGTTTTGCGCTAATTTTTGAAACTATTTTTTCCCCAGACTAGACGAAAACTTGGGTGATTTTAAAATTTTAAATTTATTAATGTCTTATTTTATTACAAAATTTAATTAATTTAAAATTTTCACCTAAATTTATGCAATTTTTGTCGTAATAACGGAAATAATTCAATAGAACATTTTCATAATTTAGAACAACTTACATCTAAAAGTGATGTAAGGATAAGCACAGTTTTAACAGCCAAAGAAAAATGTGATATTTTACAAACCATAGGTTCAACTTAACTTTTTTCCTATTCACAACTTATTTTCAATATCTTAATATTTTAATGACCAACTACAAAAATTCTCTCATTTTCTCTTTTGTGTTTATTTCCGAGTTTTATCTTTGAACAGAAGTTTATTTAAAAAAAGTTTTTTGGGGAAAAAAATTTAATTTTTTATTTTTCTTTATTGTTTACGATAATTTTTTTTTATAGGTTGCACAATATATTTTCTTTTTTTTTTTTATAATTTTTCCTGCTGAATGGTAACTTCCGAAAATTTTAACTCATCTTTATTTTTCTTTTTTATGTGTTTGGAGAAAACAAGTTGTAAATAAACACTTTCAGTATAGTGTAATAATTTGAAATAATTTAAAATGCATAGGAAATTTATTGTGAAACGGAAGTAAAAGAAAAAAATATTATAAGAAGTAAAGTGAAAAATTTTTATGATTTATTTAAAATAATAAAAAACATAAATTTATTCTTTAAAATATTTATGTTTTTCCTGTAGAAAAATTGCCAAATTTTCATAAAAAAAATAAAATTTATTATTGCCCATTTGTGTTATCGAATAAAATTTCATATTAAAATTTAATTTTAATCTGTTTGTATTATTATTGATTCTGTAATTTAATTTAGCAATTTGGGATTAGCTGAATTTCAATTAAAACTGAATTTCAATTAAAATTTCTGTTCTACTGTGGATCTAGACTTCAGATCAAAATTGCAGTCTCTTCAAAATTTAAGAAATTTATAGAACATGATCAGGTTCTTTATTAAAATTATCTTCAAAGTTTAGCACTATAATATAAAAAAATTAAAAATCTTATTTTCTAATTCATGCTGTCCAAAAATTACTAAAGCATTCATTTTATGTATTTACTGTATAAGTGTTATGTATTTTATAAATTTATTTAATAAGGGTGTTAACTATAATAGTTATAAATAATAATTTAATAATTAACAAATCTATAACTAGGTTTGAATTTCCAAACAAAATGTACGATATTGGCAATCTTAACTCTGTTTTAGTGAACAGATTTAAAGTTTCTTGTAGAAAATGGTACTATTCCATTTGAACTACATGATTATTATTCTCTTTAGTATATTTAATACTAAATAGAATAATAATCAATAATAATAATAGCCTTCCCATTTCATTTGAAATCATTTGTAAAATTTAATTAATAAATTTTTTCTTTTAAAAACTATTATATTTTTATAAAATTCAATAAAAATAAATTAATACCTAAATCCAACTAATACAAAACTCAATTACAATTTTATTTTTCATAAAAATATTTATTTTATTACATTATAAAGTCGTATATAATAATAATTAAAAAACAATTACATAATATTTAATATTTTGATATAAAAAATTTAAATTAAATTTCTTATTGTTTATTTACTTTTCTTGTAATTTTATTAAGCAAAAACTTTATAAAAAAAAAAAAAATTTAACATATTTTTGTTTTTTTTTCTTGATTTGCAGTTGTTCAATTAATTAATCATCAGGTTGTATTTTAAAATTTATTTTAAAAATTAATTTTAATTCATGTTGATTTTAATTTCACATTTTCTATCGGTAAACAAATAAGAAAAGGTTCTTATGGCAAAAAAAAAAGTTTGCAGAAAAAATTTAATAAACAATATTAAAAAAAAATAATAGTTTTAAAGCAAAAATATTATTAATGTATAATTGCGAATAATAATAATATTGTAATAATTATAATAATAATAATAGTACATAAAGATTATAATTAATTTAAAAATATTATTTATAATAATGTTAAAATATTAAAAAAAAAAAAAAAAAACTTAAAATTAATCTAAAATTTCACTTGTATTAATTATTAATTAAATTAAATCTTATAACATAAAAAAAAATCAACATAAAAATTAATAAAAAAATAATATTATAAACATTTTTTAACATAATTTAAATTTTAAATTTTACAAGGTGTTTTTTTGAAGAAAAAAAAAATAATTTTTTTTTTCTATTCCATTTTCCATTTTATTTTCATTTTAGCTCATTTTACTCTTTTCTATTTAAATTCAACAAGCTTTTTAAGCTTATATTTCAGTTGAATTTTCGAGAAATGAGCAAGAGCTTCAATTATATTTATTAACCAAAAATTAAAAAAAAAAATAATAAATAAATAAACACACAAACAAATCAAAAATTAAAGATTAAAGAAATTTTAAAGTTTCACTTTTTATAGAATCTACAAAAATAATTAGGAAATTTTTTCGAAAAAAAAAATTAATATGAAGGCACGTCCTCATAATTTTTTGACTTTCAAATATTTAAGCTGAACTTTTATTGAATATTGATCGGGAACATAGTAAGAAATGATTTTTTAAGTGTTCGGTTTTTAAATTTAGCGAAGAACATATAAAAATTGCAAATTTTAATGCAATTTTTAGTTGAACCGATAAATTAAAGCATAGCTTTTTTATACTTTCTAAATGTTATTTCAGATAAAGATCTAATTTCGAACAACAATATATCTAATTATGCGTTTATTACTTTTCTTTTCAATTCTTCAAGTCTCGACAGACTTAAAGAATAGCAATAATTATTCATTGAAAGCACTATTATAATTTATGCTTGAAATAATAATAATTTGAAAGAGTTATTCATTTCTTCGAATTTAAAAGGAAAATCAAATTGAACCGATTTGATATTGGCAACTATATGAAAGCAATAAAAATAAAATTACAAAAAAAACCAAACATTAAAAACCGCCCCATTTTCTTTGCCTTATCATAAAAATTTTAAAAAATTGCTAATTCAAAGTTAAAATTTATTACATTCTTAATTAATAGTGTGAGTTCCAAATTATTATTAGTAATGTGAACGTGAAACTAAAAATGAATTTTTTTTTAAATAGTTTAATATTTTAGATCTTAAAAATACTATAATAATGATAACATTTATGAGATTTTAATTCTTAATAGAATTTCAGAATTCTTGTAAGAAAACAACAAATTGCACATTTAAGATCTAAAATAATTTCATTTTTAAATATAATTAGGATAAAAAATTATTTTCATAAAAAAAGAATTGCACTTAAATAATAGTTAATTTTTGTTTGTTTTTTTTTTCTTTTTACAATAAAAAAATTATTTTCTTTAGTAAACATTTTATGGAATATAATATAATTATATAGAAATAAGATAATAGAACCAAATAGAATTAATACTTAAGATTAATATTAAAAAAAAAATCAATAAAATAAAACATAAAATATTGTTATTCACAAAAAAATAATTAATGGTTTTGTTTTTTTTTTTTTAAAAATAAGCCAAAATTGAATTTATAGTTTTACTAAAAAAACAAAATTAATAATGGCAAGATTTTGTTTTATTATTTGTTTCTTTATAAATCTCACTTTTTTTTTCTTTTATTTTTTTTTTTTGTTTTGTCTTATTTAGTTCCTTATTCTTACTTTTACTTTGAATTTTTTTTTAAATTTCAATTTTATAAATTGAATTTTAAATATTTTAAAATACATAATATTCTCACTGAAATATCAGTAATCTCTTAGCAATTTTTGCAAATCATATGAATAGGGAAAGTTATTGGTTACGATAAAAAAAAAAACGCAACGATAAAAAAATACAACGAGGCTCCCAATTTAGTCGGAAAACCCCATGGATTCTACATAATATTAGGAGGATTTTAGCAGATATCAGAACAAGGAGCGTCAGTGTAGCTTTAGTAGAAACACGGAACTGTAACTATCGATAACAACGATTCCAGTTGTTTTTGAGAATAAAACAGGATTTTATAAGTTAAGTCAATTAAATTTGAATTACAGATGTTATAATTTTCAAAATATAATTTTGTTAACATCTAAAATCTCAAATATGACAACTACAGAAACCGATTACATAGTCTATTTTAAAAAATCTAACTTTAATTGCATTAATCTATTGTTAACTTTGAATATATTTGACAGTGATATGACATTTTCTGATATGACAGTGAGAGTTTATCTTATATTTTTAAAAAATATTTTAAAATACATAATAATGATAAAATAAATAAAAATTTAAAAATAAAAATAATTTTATTTTTGTAATCAATTTCTAATCAATTACAATATTTTGCTTACACTTCAAAAAGTAAAAAATCAAACTTTTTCTAATATTCTATGTAAAATTATTCCTGCTTTTTTTTCTTACAAATTTCTTCATTTCAATTTAAATAAGTATTTAAGGTTTTACAGCTCTGAGCTATTTTTTTTTTTCATTTTACTACAAATCAAAGAAATTTAAACAAATAAAATTACAAAATAAAATGTAATTAAAATCGTAAAACTTCGTTAAATAATAATTAAAAAAAAAAAATTCATTACAAATTAATTACATAATTACTTTTTATAATAATATTAATTAAGGATTAAATATGAGACAATTATGTATATATGTATATATATATACTATAGATAAAATAATAATATTTGCGACTTAAATTACAACAATTTTGACTGGTCCCGACGGTAATTGTTTCATATAATTCCATGCATCTACCCGTGACATTTTTGCTGTTGATGCACCATTTATAAATAAAATTTCATCACCATTTTTAATGTTACCAGCTTTTTGTGCAGCACCACCTAAAAACAAAAAAAAAATTAAGTTAAATATAATTTTAATTTATTAAATAAAAAATTATTTGGAATTTTTTTAATTTACCCATAAAAACTTTTTTAACAGTTAATGGACGATTACCCAATGGTGAATCCATACCACCTTCAATTGAGAATCCTAAACCACAGCTATCCTTGACTATTTCAACAGTTCTAGCACCAGCTGGTATTTCTTCTAAAGTAAAATTAAAAAAAAAAACAATGTTTTACAATTGCTGTCATAAACAGGTTAAGTCAAAAAAAATATGTATATAATGGACAATTAAAATTCGTAATTCATGACGTTTTTGACAAGTCCAATTTCAATCATCAAATCTGTTTGGTTTGTAATTTTGTCACTGAAAGACTCATATCCGAATACCGCTTCCAAATTAAATAATATTTAAGGAATTGATTAGAAATATGTCCGAAGGTATATTCCAAAGAATTTATTAAATCAGTTAGCATTAATTGCGAGTTTAGAAATTGGATGTGAAATTTTAGGATATTTTAGCACGAATATTTGTAAAAATTCGACTTAAAATTGATCCGTTTTAAAGACCCTTATAGATTGTAATCGTAGCTCCAACATTAACATGAAATTTTAATTAAACTATCGATTGTTTTAGAAATTTTACAATTTTTCACTTTTTATTTAAAAACGCAATCACACGTTATTTAACTAACCTCTTTCAGCAGCCAATACATTTCTTGTCTCCCTTACACGTTCTAAAATTTCACTTGTGCTTAATTTACCACCATCTCTTGAATATTGTCTTCTTGTTCTTGAAATACTTTGTATATCAGATTCTGAGGGGCTTGCTGTACCATTGCTACCCAACGAAGAAGAACTATTTAAACCACCATTAGAATCTTTAGAACTGTCATCATTCGAAACAACATCTAGATCTAAGTCTAATGATCTGGATGCTTTATGATAACTTCTTTTTGTTTTATCAAAATCAATTTCGATAGGTTTCTCAGTTAATGAAGTTAGAGAGCCTAACGATGAACGTTTCTTACTTAATGATTTCGCAGCAATCGATTCTGAACGTGTTACAATCAAAACAACTTCTGGTCTTGGTGTCTATAAAATAAAAAAAATGTAGAATTACATAATTTATTAGGTAAATATTAAATTGTTAAAATGTCTATAAATAAAATCTGTGAAAATTACTTTTAAAACTGAAATAGATTCACGATGGGTCAAACCACGCATAGTCATTCCATTAACAGCTAAAATACGATCACCTTTTTTAAGTCTAGCATCTTTTGCTGCTGGAGTATTTGCCAAGATTTTGTGAATCTGTAATTAGAATCCGAAAAATGTTAATGAAAAATTATTTCAATTCGTTAATTTTATTTATTTTACCGTTATTTCTTTTGCCTCGTAATCGGCCCCACCAGCTAAAGTAATACCAATACTGCTTTCGGGTGTTTCTCTTTGAAGAACTACTACGAAAGCTTCTGGAGTTTTCAGTTGAGGATCTGCTTCTTCTATAATTAATTGAATGTCTTGTGCAGTAATTAAACTTTGATTGCTTCCAAGTGAAGAAAAACTACCAAATTCAGTTGGTGTTTCTTGATTTGATGGCAAGTTTTGATTTCCGGATGAGACACCAGATGAAGAAGAGGCTATTGAATCTAAAGATGAGAAACGTTCATGATAAGTTTGTTTAGTTTCTTTGATTTGTTTTAATGTATTGTTTGGTGTAATTATTTGTGTTGTTTGTGTCTGTGCTTGAGATCTCTGTTCAAATTTCTCACGAATTTCCTGAGTTGAACTTTTCGGTTTTACTGATGTAATAGTTGTAGTCGTAGTAGTTGCTGTCGTCAAATGAGAAATTTTAGGAGATGATAAAATCTCCAATTTTTCAGCAGTAGCTTTTTGACGATCAACTGAAACTTTTGTTTTAATTTCAATTGGTTTAGAAATTTCTAACATTGCTTTAGCTGCCTCAGCTTGCACCCATTTAGCCATATCATTACTTGGTTCTGGAGATATTGCAGCATTTGTTGTGATGCTAGTTCTGGTTGTTGTTATAGTTATTGGTGAAGATTTTTTCCTTGTTATTGGTTTTTGAAAAGGATCAGCTTTAAAACTAGCTTTTCGTTCCTCATCAATAAAAATTGCACTGATTTTTGAAGGAGAAGTATCAGATTTTCGACTGCTGTCATCTGTATCAGAAGTTACTTCAACGTAGGCTGCAACATTAATAACTTTATCAACAATACTTTCATCTTTTGAAACTAACTTATAATTTATTGGTGCTAAAGTTATTGGTGTTGATGGAGTTGGTAATTTATTTAAAGAGTTTTGTTTATTTTGAGCTGCGGCACTAGATCTTTGTTTAAATTTTGGTGTCTTTCTGACATCTTCATCGTCGTATCCATCAGTGCTATCTTCATCATCGTATCTTCTGTTTCTTACTAAAGCAGAGGAATCATCCCTGCCACTGCGACATTTAGCAGAAGCTAACACATTTTTTCGACTAATCGAACCAGAATCTCCTGAACCAGATTTAATAATTCTTCGACTCATATCTACTGTTGGATTGCTTCCAACTGAGCTACAGCTGGCTTGTGATCCAGACCCTGAAGTTAATGTTGATGTTGTTGAACTAGCAATTGATGTATTTGTTTCTGAACTTAATGTTCTTGTTAAAGCAAATTTTTCTGGAACACTATTTTGAACAACATGACTTGGTGACATTGGTGGTGATGATACTTTTGAACTGAAAACTGAATCTGAATCACTTTCTTCCAATTGATGTGAATTTCGGTTTAAACTACTATTAGAACTATTTAATATAAGCGAAGTTCGAGGAGGTTTCATCGGGGGAATGATATTATCGTTCACTTTTTTCAAGTTCATATTTTGAAATCTTGAATTTTGTGTTTGAAAAATATTTTTGTAAGTACCATTACTTACATTTTGAGATTGTACAGGAGTTGAGTATCGATTAGAAAATTCTTTTTTGTGACTAAATGTTTTGAAACCATTTGTTGGTGTATTTGGGTGCGAATATGAATATTCATTTTGCGTAATTTCACTGTCACGACTCTTAATTTCTGGTAAATCTAGAATAGGTTCAAGTGTTGAAACTGGAATTTGAGGTTTTTCTGGTATCACTAAACCTCTTAATTTTGATAATGATTTACGTCGTTGTTCTAGTATATTTGTTATTGCTGCTTTTCTTGTTGCTTCATCATTATTAATTTGTGTGCCCGAAAAGCTAATTGTGCGTGATAATGTTGGAGTATTCCTTCTTGGAAGAGAAGCATAACTTTGAGTGTAATCAGTATTTAAATTTTGTAATGATTCCCCTTTTAAAGTTGAACTTGGTCTACTCCGGAAACTATTACTAGAGCTAACGATATCACTATTCAAATTTTCCACACTCATTGCTTTCTTTGGAAGACTATTAAATATTGGTTGATATTTCATATTGTTATCGTAACGATCTCTTGAATCTAATAAATTTTCGGTACTTTTATTAAGTGGTTTTTTATTGCATCGGCCAAAATCGGTTTTATCGTTTTCATTAGAAAACATTGCAATTTTATCACGAACTGATTTTTCTGATTTCTCATCTTTTCGCCAATCAGCAAATTTACGTCCAGTTGCTAATGATGGTGATGATGATAATGAAACAGATTTCTTTTGTTGATAAACATTATTTGAATTTATAGTTGAAGATATTCCACCAGATGAATCAACTTGATCTAATGAATCTCGACTTCCAACTAAACGTTTTTCATATGGGAAACCGGTGAATGGTGTTGTGACTGTAGTTGATGTTTGTTCTATTCTCATATATGAATCTTTTTTTGAATCATTTAATTGATTTCGAACATCATCGACTTTAATAATTAAATCTTGTCGATAAATTTTTCTAGGAACTGTTGGTGGAGGAACTGATTTTGGTAATGGTGGACGATCATCAAACATATTATTTTTATCTGATGTTTCTTGTGCTGATGATGTTAATTTTTTATATGTATTATGTGTTGTTGTTGTTGTTGATGTTATTAAACTATTTGATTTTAAATGGCTATTTGTTGGTATTATAAGTGGTTCAGAAAAATTTGGTGGAAATTCGTGACCATCGGGTGGTAAACGTGAATATGTTGGCGGTGAACTTAATGCTAAATAATCTGATAATATTAATGTTGAAGGAACTATCTGTATACTGGTAGTATCCATTTTCGTTGTTGTTGTTGTTGTAGTTGATGTATTGATTGGTGTACTGATTTGTGTATTGTTTGGGAACATGGAATCTGTAAAAGAACATACAAAAAAAAAAAAAATTAAAAAACACTTAGTATTTGTTAGACACAATAGGATATTAAATTTAAAAGAATTTGTTAGCAGTAAGAATAAACAAACGAAAAACATTAAGTATAACTCTGACATTAATCATTAATTTTTTTACATTTCACGAATTGGTTTGGAAAAAATATAAACGAATGTCATTATTCGTTGTGTCACCTACTGTTTAACATGACGACATACACAACAATTTGTCAACAATGATTTCAAAAACACATACATAATGAACAGTTATTTACACATTAAACGTTTTTCTATCTTGTCATTTTAATATGACAGCCTTATTATTGCCATTTAAGTCATTTATCTTTTATATTTTATTAAAATTAATTATATCACAATAATATTCCTGTCAAAGTTCATCTGTATTAGATGACAAATTGTAAAAAAACGAATTTTTTATTTTCAATCAAAATTTTAATCCAATTAAATGAAAAATTGTACCACAAACATTGCATTTTATTAACAAAGTATTAAGTGTTGCCTAGTTTTGCAATTTTTTTTTTCGTATTGTAGAGTAAATACATTGTGTTACACAGAGAGAAAAAAAAAAAATAATAACAAAAGTTTTTAAATTTAGAAATTCATTTTTTCCTAAAACTAATGACCTAAGATTGATTTCAAAGAGATCAACGTAGAATAAAAATTATCAATCTGCACCTATTTAATCTTTTATATGCGGTTAAAATATCAAATTTGATTTATTTTTATAGGTTAGATTTGAAATTGGTAGGTCGTTCACAATAAGCTATTAACAATTATTTTATATGAATTTTTATTACAAAAAGAAATCAATTAAATAGCTTAAAATTTTTTAAATATTTTATTGTGTTTGTAACAATAAAAAGTATTAAGAGTTTTGCAAAAAAAAAAAATTTCATCAATCATAGAATTTTTTTTTATTATTTTTTTTTTCTATTTTTACTTAAACTACTTTAATTTTGATTTAATGAAATAAGTAGGTAACCTTGAACATATTTAATTTTTTTTCGTACATTCAATTAATGACAAATCATGAAAACAATCCTAGAAATAGAGGGAAAGATGAAATTTAATCACCTTTACAATTAAATTCGGAGTAAAATCGAAAGAGAGAAACAAAGAAATAAGTCATCATCATCATTATATAAGCAGTTCAGTTGTGGCCAACCATTCTTTTTTGATTTTGGATTTTGTAATAATTTTTTTCAATTTTATTATTTATACATTAAAAAAATTGTAATTTATATTTCGTAATATAGATGGGGTTACACATACATAAGTATAACACAAGATTTTTTGAATAATTTCAAATAGTTATTTGTTTTTCACAAAAACAATAAATAAATTTAATGTTTTCGTGATGAAAAACAAAAAAAAACAAAATATTCAATGAAATCTTAAAAATTTTTATTTAATCATTAATTTGAAATTAATAGCGATATTATTGAAAATTTAGATCAAAATTAAAAAATGATCCACTTCAAATTCAATTTGAATCAAATTTTCGTAATTTTTTTTCAATGTTTTCTTTGTGAAATATTTTCAATTTATATCAAAAGTGTATGGGTTAACTTCAATTTAATTTAAGTGTATGAAAGTAGAACACATATTCTGCATACTTCAGTAGTGAATGTAAAACAATAATAACAATGAAAACTGTTATACATATTGTTATATTTCATAATTTTGTAATTTGAAGAAATTAAGAGAAAAGAATTTTAATGAAATTTTTAGTCAGGAATTTTAAAAATAGGCTTAATTTAACTAAATGACAACGAAACAGGTATCATATCGTATGATGTTAATAACGTACAATAAAAATACCATTCAAACATTCGTTCAAACAGGTATAATCATGTAACATCTATTGGCGATTCAAAGAATAGAATAATAATATTATAATCATCTTAACACTTGTAGATATTTTATATAGAAATTACATGTAGGACTTCTTATATATTATGTATATTACTTAAAAGGGTTTAAAACATTCATAAAAAATTTGCTAAAATCCTAAAAAATATTATATAACCCAAAACAACAATTTTTTTTTTTTGCCCGCGTGCTAATGTTATTATAGATTTCTAAATTACATTGTACGTAATGCTTTCGGAATTTCCTGTTTTAAAATAATTGCACACTAAAAAAATTGGGTTAACCCTTTGCACTCGTATGTCACACTGGAGGTGGCTATACTAATTTACTACTCTACAATTCGTACGTAACACTGGAGGTGGCATTACTATTGTATATCTGTAGACAACAGCACTAAATAACTCTAAAATTATAGTTTACGTTTATCGAGGTGTTATACAAGTTGACACGCAACAAACCCTGAAAATAAATCGACCGCAAAGGGTTAATCCCGAAAATATAACAAAAAAAGAAAAAATAAAGTTAACCATGTCAACCCTGTGATACTTGCATGAATGTTTTCGAAAATTTGTGGTAATATTTTACTTGTATATAAACTTGTTTTTTATACATTAAAACTTAAGATATGAGTGAATTGTTTTCTGAATTGTTTTGGAATTGTTTATTATTTATATTAAATAACAATATTATTTTTGAAATTGTATGTCAGCTTTTGTAAAAACTTATACAAACACAATTAAAATTAACTGAAATAAGGCCCCATATTACTGTCATTTATGCAAAATTTAAATGTCATCAACTTTACAGCTCTTTGGTTTTATCACACGGCCAGAGATAGTTAAATCTATTCGACTCTAATCAAAAACCTATAGAAAGTAACAAATTTATAATATACCTCGGATAATCGTTCGTAGGTACGGGTTCAATTATAGCATTATTCTTCCTTCATTCGGCAGGCATTTCATTGAATTTTATGTATAACCTCATTTTAAATTACTTTGGTTAGCCTTTCCAAATCAATTGAACAACTTAATAGTAGTGAATAATAGTGAAAATTTGGATTTTTTCCAATAAAACTCGAAAATTCATTCTCTTTTACAGTTACAATAATCTTGCTCTCGTTCTGTATAATCATATACAATTTATCAACATTTTTCAATCCAACCAATTTATCAAATCAAAAATTATATTTCAATAATCATTTGTATGGATTAAAGAAGATCAAATGTACAAAACAACCAAAACAAAAATCTTTTGTTTAAAAATTACTTTTAAAATTTCATAAAAGAACACAAAACAAAACAAAAAAAAACAAAAACAACACCAATAAGATTGAACCAGAAAAAAGTAGACCACTAAATCACAACAATCTCTCAGATCAATAATTTTTTTCATATTCAATTTTTCTTTTTCTTTCATTTTAACATACTTTTCGGATCACCTAAATTTGAAAATAATTACAAAAAAAAAAATTAAAATTATTTTCGGCACAATGAAATAAAAATCTAATTTTCACTCTCACCTTTTTATTGTCCAAAAAGAAAAAAAAACCGTTTTTTATTTCTGAAATATTTTCATTGTACTCAAAACAAAAAAATGCAAAAAGCCACTAAATACCGTTATTTAAAAAATATTTTCGTCTTTTTTTTTCTTGCTTTGGCCTCCAAAAACGAAAACACCAACAAAATATCAATAACGTACACGAACAATTCAATCAAAAATAAAATATCAAATGATCATCAGATGGTTGGGTTTTGGATCATCCCAAAAATCGCGCAAAAACAAAAACATGCTCAATCATAAATTTTTGTAACCCAATCAAATTTTAAACAACTGCAGTCGATGACGACAGATGGATATGATGATAACTTGTGTAATTGAGAACTTGTGTACAATAAAACTTTCAATTTTAAAGGATTTTACTTGGGTCATCAATAATAAAATTACAAAATAAAAAAAAAAATAAAAAATTAATGAAGCTGAGAGGGAAATTTTTAAAGAAAAAATGAAAGGATGTGAAGAGAATGAAGCTTAAAAACATTTTTCTTCGATTATCGTAATTATTGACATAATTCTGAAAACACACAAAAAAATTAAAATTATTTGTTTTTCTCTTTTTGTTTCTTGAAGACTTTTGCGAAGCAGCTGGTTAAAATCTGGTACCCGATCGTCAATATGTAAAGGATACCAGATTTCACTAGATAATAAAGACAATATGTTGCAAAATTAGAGCTTTCTATGAAATGAAGAAAATGCTTGCTAAAATTAGAGCACACAATAAGATCTACATAAATTTCAGAAATTCAAGCCAAGTTAAGAGCAATTTTGAATAAAGTATGCAAAATTTTTGAGCATAATTTCGAAAATGCTACAAATTTTTCATTATCTTTGACATCAAAAAAGCCTATATCGCAATCAAGCGAATCACAAAATTAGCAGAACCCACGATATTGTGTCATGTAAAATTGACGAAATTATCAAAAGCCCTGAATTTCCTTCGTAGAATTCTACGAATTACGAATTTAGCTACGGCGTAGACTTTTACATGATTACAAATACCTTTCGTAGAGATTATGATTCAGCAATGGCAATACAATATTTCGAAATGTCAAAATCAGTATTTTATTTCAACTGTCAAATGTTTATTTATATTTTTTGTTGCTATTTGAGTATACTACTTTCATAAAAAAGAATATTTTTTAAAATCGGCGTTTCTTAGGGTTACTTTTACTACGAACGTAATTTATGATTACTCTATTACGAACATATATTCGTGGTAGAATTTTACTAGTTCGGAATTGAGAATATGCACTTCGTAATTTTCCGAATATCAGAGCTACGAATGAAATTCATGATAGGGCTGCAAAATATTTATTCTCAAATTTTGGTGAAACGACATAAAAATAAAATTATTAAATTATTATACGACATACGGCAACCTTAAAATTAAAAAAAAAAATTTAGCGGTGAAAGTTAAAATTGTAGTTCAAAAAAAAGGTGTTTGCCTTCATTTTGCAAACTTTTATAATCTTAAAATCCTGTTGACGGCTGAAATTATTCTTTTCAAGAACCTTAATGTGACCAAAACATG